GTGCGTGTGTTTAGTGTGGTCTTACCCAGCCGTTTCAGAACCAGATCTCATTTCAGCAGCCAGATGACTCTGAAGCTAAGAGGGGCACTGAAATCACTGAGATCATCATCAATGTATGACATGCTTACATACACACTCACTTGCTCCAAAATATTATTGAAATTCCTTACATTTCTTATTTAGCACAAGTCTTAAAGAAGTATTGTGACCTGAGACATCCACACTTTTCGTTCCAAGCACACTACATTTCACAATTAGGTGTTTGTTGTTGTTTTTTTAATAGTTTCCCCTCATTCATGAATAAGACCCTGAGATACTTTAATTTGTTGCTTCTATTCTGACATGGAATGGACTCCTCATGCCTGCAGCTACCACCTTGTCATGTTGGAGGGTTTTGAGGGTCCTAGTAATCAAAGTCTTTAACCCATGGGGCTGAGCCCGAATGAGTCACATGGCCCAGTCATTCTGTGGGCCCATCATCTGCAGGAGGTGCCAAAAGGGTCAGGTGCAATGTAGTGATTATAGCAACTAGCTCCTGGGTCATGGAATGAATACATTTTTTAAGATTATTTACATCTTATTGTTAAAAAATTCTGATTTGCAAATTACCCCAAAAGTTTGAGGCACAAATACTGCATTGAACACCTCGTGTATCTAAAACTCCAGTGTAAATATATAAAAAAAAAAAACACATGGAAGCAGAGAATTTTAGTCTTCTTTTCTTTTTTTAATCAAGCTTTTGGATTATACCATATACTGTAAAGAAGCATATAGATATAACGAGTTATCAAGACAAGAGTTCTCAGTGACAAAGTTCTTGATGAATCATCTGCAGAGCTGAATGCTGTAGCTATCATGTTCACAGGCTCCTGCTTTGTTTCTGCAGCAGATGTGCGTAAACTGTGGCCGGGTGGCGATGAGTGAGTGCACAGGCTGTCACAAAGTCAACTACTGCTCCACATTTTGCCAGAGGAAGGTAAGACTCAACTGTCTTTTTTCTGTCAGACACACAAAAAATAGACAGATTTCCCTGACATTTGTTATGAGTCTTTACTAATGTTTTTTCATGACAGTGCAGTTTAAAAAATAATTTATTGTTACAGCAGTCGTTGATTACTCTGTTACATTCAAATCAGCTGGTAGTTGGATTTGTTGGGTTTCAAACATGTTTCCAACAGGGGTGTTGAAGAGTTGTGCAAAATCAAACTCATAACATGCCTGTAAAGTGTTTCTGCTGTTTCTTCTTACTGATATATTTGCAAATAGCTAATATTATAACTTACTGGTTTGGTTTTTAAAGCCTTAATACACGTGTGTTGGCTGCAGCCATGTTTCTTTTCCAGAGGTGACCATATTTGGAGGTAATCCTAAATTATCAGCTAAAGTTAACAAATATTGTCAGCAAGCTGCATTCATAAACTAATCCCCTCATAGGTACACTATAATTTTTACAAAGTAACAGACTATAAACTACACTACAATACAATATAATACAACTTTATTTATATAGCACATTTAAAAACCAACGGTATACCAAAGTTCTTCACAATAAAACAGCAGGTTAAAACATGAATAATATAAGACCATTAACAAAGTACTGAATATGCTTACAGGTCAATGGCACTAATTACACAAGAATAAAAGTGAATATCAAATCAAACTTGCTAAAAACACACAGGTTTTAAGTAGAAAAAGATATAAAGAAAGATAAAATTGGAATTAAGTATAAAATACAGGCGTTAAAGAATGATTAAATAAGTGCGTTTTTAATCATTATTTAAATGATTGGATGGAGTCAGACTATGCTGCAATACTAGAACTTTACCCACTAAAACTGAAGCACAGACTTCTAGATGATCTGTACCACACAGGAAGCCATACTATTTGTCAGATCATTCAGTTAAAATGTTCATAAAGGCACTAACAATGTAAACACATGTTTGAGGCCTTGCAGGCAGTTTTTGACATTTTTCTTTTCATTTTTCATGCCAAAAGGTTGCTACTTGATTTTCAAAATCAGTCACTTCACACGTCCGTCTCTTTTGTCCACAGGACTGGAAGGACCATCAACACACCTGCACTCAGTCAGCAGGGGGCATGGCTGTCCAGCAGGAAGAGCCAATCACAGCCATTGACATGGACAAAGTGAAGTGAAGGTGTAGCAGTTTAGGAAAAAGCGTGTGCATCGTTTCAGTGAGGTTAACAGCTGCTGCAGACTGAATGGCCTAAACTGGGAGAACACACCTGCTTGAAAATAGCAGTATTTAGAGAGTTTAGTGTGAAGGTTTTTTCTCAGGCTGACATGTAAAAAAAGGTCACTGATGGAGTGAGAGCTGAAGTTAGACTAGACTGACTTAGCATTTATGAAAAGTATTAAGGAGTCTTATTGCAGCAGTATCCAATGAAGTGGTGGTTCTAACTAATATTTTCATCATAAATTGATCTTGTCCCTAATTCTATCATATTTTAGCGACTTTATTACATTGTGTCATCAGTTGTCATATGGTCTATATCTTCCATCAGCCACTGTTACCTCTCCGCTGTTGCCATTTTACCTCGTTTACCTCATTATTCTCTAAAAACAGTCCTGATTAAAGAGGACATCTTCTTTTTTGTTATGTATGCATGAGCACAGTGGCCAGATTTTGGGTTCAGTGTATGTACAAGTAATCCCTGTGAGTCAAAAGTTCAGACTTCAAAGTGCTAATATGGTCATCTCAGGAAATCAGCTTTGGCTGCTGCAACCTGCTATTGAATCCTTCTGTTTGAAAGGGAGAGCCAATCAGAAGAAAGTTGGTCAATCTTTTGACGTCTACATTTTGATGATGAAAAGCAAGACAATTATTTTTAGAGTTAAATAACAATGTGTTTTGGGGAAAATTTTTCAGTTTCAGTCCCCTCATGCCAAAACTTTGCAGAACATTTTTCAGCAGACAGAAATGACATATTTTGATATTAAAGAATCAAGGTTGGTTATCACTGATGAGGATTTAGAGAATTTAAAGTTGAGGATCTATCTTTAATTCAGGATGATGAAGTGACTTGAACATGAAACAAGCAAAACTGCTGTCCTGAATGTTTTGATTTTTTTCTGGCAAAAACTATGTATTATTATTTTCTTACATTTGTATATGTGTGTTATTCTGTTGCTACAGAGCCCTTGAAGTCCAGAAAGAATGTACAGGTATTATAAGCAATTGTAAATATAAAGGTAAAGATCGTTTTTCTTTGTGTTTCACTGATTAATAAAAAGAGTTCAGCAAACTACTAGTGTTATTTGTTTGGTTTTTTTTGGTTGTTATTTCATACATTAAGGCCATTTCTCTTCTTTTTGCACATTTAGCTTTTTTAATTTCCCTGATGTGCAGCTAAATAGAGTTTTGCTTTTTAATAACAAGTTGGTAGCCTACCTGCTATATTAGAGTGACTCCTTATTAATCATTTTGGACATGACATTTGATTCTGCTGGGTCTCAGGCCCAGCAGCACTCAGGTGTCTGCTGCTGATCACTGATAGTGACGGAACGAGCCATTTCTGGCACTTTTCTGGCGATTTTATTGACTTAATGCCAAAATTCACATCTGTAAATGTAGAGTTGAGGGATTTTAAAAATCGCCTTCCCTGTTGGCCTGGCCTGTTTTGATTGATGTAATCTGTTGGCCTTCTTGACTTTTCACTATCAAATAATGATAATGTTCTTTTGTGTGTTCAAGGTTCTGTAGGGACCCCATTCAGTCAGGACTGATGTTAGGAGCAACTTAAACACTAGTTATAAAGCTTACTTCTGCTGACATTATGGCTTACAATCTCCCTTTGCTGCAGTGATGTAGCAGTGTTATAAATTACATGGTGGTGCCGCAGTGAAATTCTTTTTGGTAATCATTATGGATGATCTAATTATCCATAATGAAAAAATATGATTTGAAAACACCTAAATTGCAAAATCAAGATAGAGCGATAGCAAAAAGTAAGAATGCCCTATTTCAACCCTAAGGAGTGTATAACACATAATAAAGATAATCTGGTCCTTATCAGATATTAACATTAGGAAATGCAATCTCAGATGAACAACACATGAGACTGTATTTCATATCAATTCAGTTTAATTTATATAGCACCAAATCACAACAACAGTTGCCTCAAGGCGCTTTATATTGTAAGGTAAAGACCCTGCAATAATTCAGAGAAAATCAAGACAATCATATGACCCTCTATGAGCAAGCACTTAACAGGAAGAAACCTCCAGCAAAACCATGCTCAATGAGGGGCGCCCATCTGCTGCGACCGGTTGGGGGGAGGAGGACAGGACAAAGACGTGCTGTAGAAGAGAGCCAGAGGTTAATAATAACTAATAATTAAATGCAGTTTGGTGTATAAACACATAGTGAGTGAAAAAGGTGGCTGAAAAAGAAACACTCAGTATCATTATTTATTTAAGAAAAATGCAAAAACAATGAGAAAACCTAAGTACAGCCATACTGCTTCCATAGGAATTAAGAGGTTATATAGCAGCCAGGTGCTGCTAATCAAATGCACTTGACTAACGAATCACCAACACGTGTGTCCACCTCTATAAAAGCAGACAAGTTCATGGCAGTACAGTTTGAAAAAGACTGAACAAGTATGGCTTGTGGAAGGTTGGAAGGTTTGCCAGGAAAAAAAGAAAAGAACATGGCAGCACAGTTTATTTTTGCAAAGCTGGATCTAAACAGACTACAAGACTTCTGGAACAACATCCTTTTGGGCGATGAGACCAAAAGTAATGATTTTTTCTCATAATGCCCAGTACCACATACATCTCACACCAACTGTCAAGCAGGGTTGTGGAAGGGCAATGATTTGACCCAGTCATAAACTCCTAAAGTATTACAGAGTCAAATGTGTGACCATCTCTCTGACAGCGAAAGCTTGGCCCAAAGTGAGAGTTGTACATAAAACCACAAACCTCAATTAATTCTTAAATACATAATGACATTGTGGAGTAATATGTCATGTTCAGGTTATGATTGTTTGTTTGTTTTTCATGTCCTACTGTGTAAAACTTAAGAATTGAAAGTGTACTTGTTACTTTTTACCATGTCTGAATATGGTTGCTTAGAAATTGTTTTCTTGGGTCATAACAGTAATATTAACCTACATGTGGCCATTTCCACTCAAAATAACCATAGACTGTATATATGAGATAGACATAGCCACCCTGGCATCACCATTTGGATTGTGCACTCATTTTAAAGCCGTGGGGTTAGTGTTCTAGCTGCTGGGGATCTGATCTTCATCTACAAACACCACATGTGTTTGCAACATGAATTTCATTCTTAAAATCTGAAGAATAATGTTATATATCATCATGTTATATATCAGATAATTCCATAAAAAAAACAAAGAAACAAACAAAAAACTCCAAAAGGCATCAGCAACACAAACACAGCAGAAGTCCAATTAAGTGAATCCAACAAGAAGTGAAGTGCAACACACAGTGTCCACATATTGATCGAAGTGGCCACGCCCCCAGCTTTCAGTCTTAAAAAAGTTAGTCAGTAATTGAACAAGTCTCGAGCAGAGGGAACTCATTTGAATGTAAAGGCATTGACTGGATTAGCTCATTCAGCCTAGTGGGAATTACCTGCTACCTGATGACTTGAATCATAAAGTCTGTTGTTATGACTTAAATGGAATAGATGTGTAATGTGTGGTGCGAACAGTTTAACACTCAAGAACAACACAAAAACAAAAACAACTTAGCCTTGGGAGGTTAAGAGGATTATTGCCATGGACCCTGGGTTTCTGCTCAAGTGTTGGATTTATTTTTAGATTCTTGTATTTATGGTGTTTTCAGTTATTAATGAGATTATTTTTGTGTGTAAAAATCCCTAAATCCCATGTATTCCCTAGAATCCCAAGTGCTCCAGTTTTGATCATGCTGATTTCTGTTTGGTTTTGCTATTGGGTTACCAGCCTAAATAAACAGCTGGCTTTTTGTTCGTACTCCAGCTCACTCTATCTGCATTTGGGTCCTACATCACACTCCACCATGGCAGATCAAAACCTTTCAGTGGCATTTGATGACTACATTTTCAACTACTTTCCTGGCAAAAGGGCTTACAAATGATTTTATGACGACGTAATGATTGCCCGTGTATAGGAATTTATTTTACTTATGTATTAATCACATTATTTTATTGTATAATGCCTTGGTGCCGCTGGATTTTAACATGTCTGACACTCATACAGTAAGACAAATGGTGAGGGTGTACTAAGGAAGTTGGGAGGAAGCAGACAGCTCCACAGGAAGAGTCTTTTGTCTCTTAGAGGACTCTGGGAGGTAGCAAGGGAGTGTGAACCTTAAGGTGCGAAACAAGTGTGTACTGCCTTTTGTTCCTGGAGAAGGTATTTAACTGAGAGCCATGTTAGACTCAGTGAGACTCTGCTGACCCTGCCCCGCGGTCATGTGGGCTCTCCACAAGCTTGGTGTTCTGTTCTTTGTGTGTTTGGATTAAAGAACGTTAGCTACCGCTCACCGCTCGTCTGCAGGCTTTATTTAAATGGAAAACTTCCAAAACACCCGTCTGCTTCCACCTACATCTTGGATTCATCTGTGCACTCGTCAACATTTTCTCAAGCGGGCCTCAAACTCTGAAAGAGACTATTCTTATTAATGTGTATTTTTAGCAAAAACATTTTCTTATTAATGTGTATTTTTAGCAAAAACATTTATTCTGAAAAGATGAGTTTCAACATATAAAATAAGTTGTGTATGGCAAAAATGCTATTGATCCACCTTATAGACTAAGAGAATAGCTTCTTCACATGAAACATGAAGCTCAAACACACTTTGCTGTCATCAAATGTAGAAAAATAAAAACCTCACAGAGGAAGGAAACCATGGCAACATGAACAGACTAAAGACAGTATATCAACAGTCAGCAGCATCTCTTGCAGCTGTTGTGCGTTTAAGAATGGTCCACGGAGCAGCGTCCACTCCGGTAGTTCTATGAACAACAGCGCTGGAGGACTTTTTTGAAGAAGTTCCTGAACTCAGTGTTGAAGACAGTGTATATGACGGGGTTCAGGGCGCTGTTGACATAGCCCAGCCACGTCACCACGCTCATTAGGGCTGGCGGGATGTGGCACTCTTGACAGCGTGCTCGCATTGTGTGGAGGACAAAGAAAGGAGTCCAGCAGAATAGGAAGGCACCTTTGGGAGAGAAACAGGAATCAGGAGATGAATGCTTCGTCTCTGTGAAATCAATACTTCTGATCCTAAAGAGCAAAAAGTCAGCGTTTACAGAGAAAATACATTTCATTTTCAAGTTAAGCAAAACAGATATCATTCACATATTATGCATATTAACATAGTATTAATATATTTAGTTGTGGACAGAGGTTTGCATACATTTGTCATGCACATGAATGTCATGGTAAAATTGGACTAGTGATTTGATTGGACTGGTCTTCTTCCAGGGTGGAAAAACAAGAATTCAGGGTCCAGAAATTTGAATCCACACAGAGTCAAGAGTATACATCCAGGGATAAAAATATATGCATTCGTCCCCACTGATATTTCAATAAGAGAGATTGTTTGGAAGAATTAAACAGGATTTTTTGAGATACAGAATTCACTTCAGCTATTTGACCACACTGACCCATGATAGCAGAACAGATCTCACTGGTGATAGGATTCAAAGGCGACGACTGGATTACAGCAATGGTGTCAGCATTGAGTTTGGTGGTATGGGAAAGTCGAAGTAATGATAAGAATAGATTCTTTGCACACTCAAGAAAGCAAGCAGATGAGTGAAACTTAATGTTTGGACTTAATGTGGATCACTGTCCTGTTGGAATACTCAGTTGTGTCCAAGTTTTAACCATCTACAAGTTTCCAACTTGAGGTGAAGTTGAAGAATTTGGAGGCAGTTCTTCTTCATTACTCTATCCACTTTGTGTATGTACCAGTGCCACTAGCAGCAAAACAGCCTTGGGGCATGATGTTACCACTACCACTCTTGACAATCGTTATAGTGTTCTTAGGTTTTAAAGTCTCACCATTACTCCCTCTTTCACTGGCTAATAGCTCAATATTTGTCTTGTCTAACCATAAAACATTTCTCCAGGAGGCATTTGGCTTGTCTATGTGGGCAGTTGCAAATTTCAGTCAAGCTTGAAAGTCCCAATTTTGGAGCACAGCTTCTTTCTTGGTCAGCACGGTCTCAATTCATCGCAAAGTAAAACTCACTTCCTTGTGGACACTGATGCTAGTGTTCCAGTAGTTTCCAATTCATGACAGGATTGGGTGTTGGTGATTCCTGGATTGTTCCTGAACATCCTTTTCCTATCTTTTGAGGGTGAAAGATTGGGTCTCCTTCGAGACTTTGGCAAAGTGGTGACACATCTGAATAACTTGTACTTGCATACAATTTTTTAAACTGATGATTTTGGAATTTGCAGTTGTTTGGAAATTGATTCATTCAAGAGACCTTCCCAAATTATGTAAATCTACAGTTCTCCTTGTTTGATCTACACTAAGTTTTATGGACTTTCACACTGTTCTCAGTATTAGTTAGTCCAATGAGTGCTTTCAAACAAATCCTTTTTATGCTGGCAAAGAGAAACGACTGGTTTTATTCAATCACAATCACTAACAAGAAATTAGGCCATGGTTTTGTCAAGTTAGCAAATTATAGAACCTTCATTACCACTTATATTATATTTAAGAGAATCTGTGTATATATTTGAGCCTGTATATATTATTTTGACCATGTGTCAATTAAAGAAAATCCTGAATAAATTCAAATTTGTGCACCCAAATCTGTTTTTAAGTCATGAAAGATATATGCTGTACAATCATCCCACCCTGGAAAAAGAATAGCTCAAATGATGGACCAAAATGACCATGGCATGCATGCCCATGATGTCTGTATGTCAATTTCTGAACAAAAATGTAGATAATCAAGCTTGTTCAAGTAGAGGAGTATCTCCCCCGCTATATGGCAATTAACCATCAAAGCAGAACAGATCTCAGTCGTGACAGGATTTAGGACAGAATCTCCTGGAATCTAAATGTTGATGACGAGTCACCACAGCAGCAGATGAAGATGGAGATACTGAAGACTGAAAATGCTGTACAGTCTGGTTTAAAGTGGGACACCTGGTTACTTTAACCCACTAAGTGCCCTTCATATCTACCAACTGGGATTGAACACTAAGTCTCATGTTATGATTTTTGGATTTATTCCCAGTATTTGTGTTGTTCTGCATGTTTTGGATCTTTGTCTTGTTAAATAAATGTTTAAACCACCACATTATGGAGCCATTGCATCAAAGTAGAAAAAACTAATTACTGTGCATCACTATAACCTCTGGTCACAAAAAGACTATACCAACACTCGCTTTTGTCCACTGAGCCTCTCTGATTAACTAACTCAGTATACATCTTTCTCAGGCTACCTGTGCCAAAAATTCATTTTTTAATTTGGTAAAAGTCCACTTAGGACATTGTAACTTAGAGTTTCTTTCTCTCATATTTTCTCTCATTGATCCCATTGATAACGGAGAGCACCTGACCCAAACACAATTTATACCTATTGATAAAACAGTGCTCGCAACGAGCTTTCTAAAAATATTTTTTCCTTGACTAGTACTGTATAAACCACCTAATATATTTGGATTATATTGCTCAGACTGTCACTTAAACATGAGCCTTACCTGCACACTTAAACATGCACCTGACATGGCCTTAACCAATAATTGGATTTGAGATTAAGGAGCTGTAAGGATTGGCTGCTGTGTGCTAAAGGAAAGCACTTGTTCGCATTAGGGAGCAAAGCTGGCTGCTATTAATAGACTGACCCCTTTCTAATTGATCTGTTAGTGCCTCGGGATAGGCATCAGAGGTGGCGGTGAAGAGTTCAGGTAGCCGCAGAGCAGAGATGTCTGACATAACAACATTCACTTTAAAGGTTCACCGACAATCAAATCAACGGCAACAGTTTTAGCAAGAAGGACAAGAAGAAAAATAATGATGGTTGATTGTTTTTCAAATGACAATATATATTTTGAATATCAGTAAGTATGCATACCTTCTTCAATGACCACATTTAGAGGGGATCAGGCTTTCATGTCAGGATCAGGCTCCTAGACTCTGGAATATCCTGCCACTTGATATTCATACTGCAGGGTCCCTCCAGTCTTTTACATCCCGTCTTAAAATTCACTTTTATACCATTGCTGTTAATTCAAGCTCAGTTTGAGTCCCATCGTGTTTTTTATGTTGTGGTGCCTGTGTTTTAGTTTGTTTTTGTCACATGATATTGTATTTGTTTGATTTCATGTTTTCTTTTATTGTATTTATTTTATGTTATGGTGTTTTGACCTTTCAACACCATTTATATCTTTAAAGTGGGTAAAATTATCCCTGAAATCCAGACTCTACACCAGCCGCAGGGCCCACCTTTAATGTGTGACACTTAAATTGTGCCATTTGTTTGTGTTACATCAGTGTTGTTCTTAGTACAACAAGATTTGCTGCACTTTGGGCTTTTGTAAGCCCAGGGCACGTTCCTAATTCAGCCTTATGTGGTTAGGATGTTACTGAAAACAAGCCCAATGATGTTGATTTCTATAACAGGACTTCTATCAAATATAGCTCTAAAAATATATATATATCTGCAGAACATCAAGGAAAAGTTAAAGTGTTCAATTCCTTGTTTTCCGTTGGCCTGCCTCCTCAGCATTCAGAGTCCAACCAATGCCACAGCAGCGACAGGGCCAATAACAACAGCGAACCCATTTCCACTACAAAGGCAGCTTGGTTTTAGATTATAACGTTTTCAGTTAAAATGTCTCCTCAATGCGACTGAAGGAAGTGAACTCACCCACAACGACAGGAAGCACCTTCATAGCCTTCCTCTCGCGGCTGTTGATCTTGGCCCTTTTTCTTCTGCGCGGGTCGTGGTTGAACTTAATCTCTGCAAAACTGACCGCTGGCACAGGGCCGTCTTTGTTCTCTGTTGAGTTCGGGGGCAGGTCTGGGGACTGCAAGGTGGATGCTTCATCGAGAGTATCTGCTGGGTCTCGCTCTATAATGGGAGGCAGCAGAGGTGGCAGCGAAGCCAGAGGAGGCAACGTGGCTGTGGCCTCCTGCAGCTTGCGGCACGCCTGGATGCTGTCCTTCAACTTGGCTTTACGTGCCTCCTCCCATCGTCGCAGGCCGCGGAACATGCCACAGTACAGCAGCAGCATGATGGGGCAGGGGATGAAGAAGGAGCAGACGGAAGAATACAGAACATAGTCATCATTCTCTAGTTTACATTCCCTCGGATCGCGGCCTGGGACATTGTTGATGCCAAAGATGATTGGCGAGGCTACAGCCAAGGCCAGGATCCAGGTGGCCGACAGCAAAACAACTTGCCGCAGGTCCACATGCTTCCTGTTGTAGTTGAGCGGGATTGACACAGCGATGAACCTGCAAGAGGGGCCAGAAATATGGCATCACAGCCAGCTTAGAGCTGCTACACTAGGTTTAGGTTTTGTTTATGATATATGGTTCTAAGTTGGTACTGATGGTGTTTTATGTTATTATCCTTATTTCTTGTCCCAGTATGTCCAAAAGCATGCAGTGGTCTTACAGCCACAAAAGAACAAAACCCATCCAGAGGATTTATTTGTTTTGCAAACCCTATAGCAGAAGAACTAAAACTATTTTTAAAATGTCTCAAGGTGGGCTTGAAGGATTTATCCTCTGGTATCAGAATGCACTGTACATTGTAGTTCTCCACACTCAGAGTGCTCACCACAGGAAGGCTGTCTGCTGCTGAGAACACCTAAAATTGGCATGTACCAATTCCACTGCCATCTTAACAATTCTTTAAGACTGAAGGCAATTTTATCTTTTTATGGAAATAAAATCAAACTAACCTGAATCTTCACACTAGTGCAGAATTTAAGTACTCTTCAAACACTGCAGCCAGTAACTATGTGATTAGTTACAGTTGGGACTGAAAGATGCTGTAGCTGTAGGATGTTTCCAGTTTCATCTTAATCTTTTTTTCTGTTTTGTTTTTACTGTGTAAATAAATAAAACTCTGAAAGAAGCCCCTAGCCCTCTAAAGTGACTCTGTCAAACCGGCTGCTTATCAGGCAGCTTTTTAAAAACTAGAAGAGTTCCTTCTTCAGACCTGAACATTAACAGCAGGTGGACTCTGTGCAGACCTTCAGATTCTGCCTCCTGACCTGCCTCTTGAATTATTCAGACTGTCATCCAGTTAAACCTCTAAACGCTGCTGGCTACTTCAAAAAGCTTCAGATCATCATCATCAGTCCATGTTAACTTCACTGCTCCCCATCAGTCTTTGATGTAATCATATTTTCTGGAGTCAGGACATCAGATTTGAAGAGCATCCTGGATTTTTGTCATCCCTCAACATCGGCTGAGAGTTCGGATAATCTCATGAGACATACTAACAAGCGCCAAGCAAACCTGGCAGTTCATCAGCAGTGAGCTCATCCCTCATTTGGGGATTTAAATTCTTTTGCCTTTTCTGGGGGGTTTTCTTTTGGCGCTTTTACAGGAGTCAGACAAAAGGTCGCCGACATATCAGAACCATCGGACCCTGACAAGCTTTGGATCTGATGGTGTCCCTGAATGTTCCTGAATCATGAGAGGCCAGTTAAAACTCTTGAGTCTTGAGTCTCTACATTAGTTGTGAATCGTTACCTCATTCTTTTCATCAACTGTACAGTTTTTCCTCATATTTTCTCGAGGAGTCCACTCCAGGAATGAACACGTGGAGTTTAAGCCTGTATCTGTTTTTCCAGTATTGTGGTCCAAGCTACAACGGAGTGGCTGTAGTTCAGGAGACAAAGCAGATCATCTACTAATCGGAAGGTTGGTGGTTTGATGGCTATTCCAGTCTGCATGCCAAAGCATACTTCAGCAAGATACTGAACCCCAAGTTGGTCTCTGATGCGTTCATTATATGAATGTGTGTGACTCTCAGTTAACGCTTAAGCACTTAAACATAGAATAGTGTTTGTGTGAATGAGGAATGTTGTATAAAATGCTTTGAGCCCTTCAGTAGAGTAGAATATATAAGATAAATATAAGATCACGTATCATTCATTAGTATCTATCGATGTACTATCTACACAAAAATATTTTTGATGGGATACGGAGTCTTGTGACGTCTGTTTGAATTTTCTAGTTGTTTTCTTGATATTTATCTCAACATCTACTTTATAGTTTTGCACAAAATCTAGTCGGGACATTCATAACACCCAGATGATGAGTCATACTCACTCATTTTCTCAGTCATGATCTTTTAATTTTTTTGTACAGAGGATGGATCAACTTGACATGAAAGTAATTTAAACTGGCCAGTAGCATTTCAAAGTGTTTCCTGTGATGTATCTCAAGATGTATGTTTGTATAGATACATTCCTGAGTTCCGAGAGAATGGAGAGTACTAAGATATATCTGATGATCTTTTAACTTTTAATTTCACCACAAGGTTAGAATGTGTGGATTTAAATGAAAAGCTTTACGAAAACTAACATCTTGTTTCCCACAGGATGACCTTCCACTTACCTTGATGGTTTGTACATTTACTAATGTCACGTTTAATAACTGAATAACTGCGAAGTTAATGAACTGAACTTAGCACTTCTTTAACAGACGAAATGTCTGTAAGCTAATATGGAGAGCATCTTCTAATAGCCTGACAGCACCATCGTTATGAGCAACATGGCAGCTCCCTGAAACCCATCTTAAAGTTCAATCATGCAGATCAGACTAAAAAGATCTCTGGTTCCAGCTGTCTCCATTTATTCTAAGGTCTACTTTTTAGTTAGAGTGTTGAAGAAAAGCTGTTAGGCATTTTAACAGCTTAAAGAGGGGGAATAATTCAGATCCATACTGTTACTAAATGAACGAAATACAAAGGGTTTAAAGTGTCAGACGTCTATGGTTTGTAAGGTGTGGAACATCAGCTGTAATAGGACAACAGACACAGAACAGCCACAGTGCTCTGTGGAAAGTTCAATCCTAATCTGAGCGGCATCTTTCACAGAACCTACTGCTGTAAAACATATTACAGTATTCACTCCACTAAAAAGTATACATTACTACATTGTAGTAAATGCTGCAGGTATTCTTAGGTACTTTTTTGCATTATTTTGACATCAGCAATACTTTAAAAGGCTTTAGGACCCCTGTGGTTTCTGAATTCTTTTTTGTGTTGTCATGGGAGTGTAACAAGAGTGAAGAGTTTTTAGAGTGTAAAAAGCCTAACCTTCCTCTTTTGGAAGGACCTGGCTCCAAGTGGAAAGCTGTGGCAGGTTTCAAATTCCCGTGCTAACCAATGACTGAAGTGACACCTCTTTATGTTCAGTATATGCTGAAAGCCATAAACATAGCAAAACAAAATCTTTTACACAGCTACTGGTCCAGAGCATTTAAACAGGCTGGTGTTAACTGCTGTTCAAAACAGCAATATGTGAACTTCAAGGGAAGAGGCTGCAGATGTATGGTCTTCTTGAAAGCAATATAACTTTCAATGAGACCCAACTGTTCAAGAACAATTTGTAATTGTTCTTAAAATTTTGTTCCAAGAAATTCAGCTAATATTCCTATTGTCAAGATCACTGACCTACTGGCACTTCCTGTATCATCACCACCAGGATGAGATTTTTGTTAAATACCGTCCATCAAGCGAACTGCTGATTGTCTGCTGTTCTCTTGCCGTGCGGCTTCAATGTAAGGGAACAACACAAGATCCTGCTGTGTGTACCTGTACAGGTGAGTACTCACCTGTCAATGCTGATAGCGCAGAGATTGAAGATGGAGGCAGTACACAACATAACATCCATCGTCATGAGACCATCACAGATGGTAGTGTTGAGGGTCCATACACCATCCTGGAACTGAGAGGCAGACAAATGCTTGTCGTTTAATGTTTACTCACACCAAAAATTACCTTGACACACAATCTGAAATCAAAACGGGCCTTCTACTCTACAGTTTCTTTATGATACAAAGTTTGAATGTATGCAATGATTCCTATGATATTTTAGCTTCATATATCAAATACTTTTCAGGCTGTATTTTCAGACCATTTTTTCCACACATTGAAATCAGAGTCAATTGTTGAACAGGAAGTTGAAAACTATTAAAGATAAAAACCTGAACATTTCACTTCCCCTTCTTATCATAAAAAATGAATCCGGAGCTGTAATTGTTCTGTAATAAGTATTTGACATATGAAGCTAAAATTTCACAGCAATTATTCTGCCTGTCCAAACTTTGGACCATAAAATTTGTATGCAAATCAGAGATGGTTGAGCATAAAAAGGTCTGAAACTTTGGTGATTTGAGATTTTTTTTATAAAGGAACTGCACTCCACCAGCTAAAGGTTGCTGGCAGCCTTTGATATTTCAAAAAAATGCTTTTTTCTTTATTTTGTTTTATTACCTTCAAGTCACTGTATGTTCGTGCAGAGTAACGTACTGAGTTTACTGAGTAAACAGGAAGTTTGACCTGGACTGAACTGTCCTGTCCAGCTTCTTTACCAGGTCATGACCCTGTCAAACCACCACTGACCTTTGCTTCAAACCTGCAGAGCATTGCATAAAAACATCACTCTGAACTCTGAAGATCAATAAGGAACAATGAAAGGTGGTGATATGTAGTCATTAGAGAATATCTTTGCTGACAAAAGCAGATTTGGGGTGATCGTGATTTTCATAGCTGAAGATCAATTTGTGGATTACACAAACTGTCTCCTGGTTTCTGCATGGGTCTTACTGTTTTTCACCAATTTTAATAACATCGACTGCCTAGTTTGTTAGTTTTTTTGGTTTGTTGCTGTTTAATATTTTATGCAAAATCTATATAATCTTTTACAGAAATAAAACTCAAAGATCAGAAAATGTAAACACGGAATTTCTATTGTGAAAATTGACCTTTTATGTAGCAGCAAAATGTTTTTGATTTACTTTGGAATTAAATATCTCAAGTCAACCAGCTCCTGTGAATTTCTGTTTGACATGGGTTTTAAAGAGGTAATGGATTCTGCTATTATTAGGGTTTATTCTGCACATTTAATGAACTTTTTAATGCCTTTTCAAATAATTTGTTGGTTGAACGCCATCCAGAACTGCTACTGCAATGACCTGCCATCTGGTGCCCAAAGACTCAGAAAGAGATCCAACAGTTTTTAGGGTCCCTGAATCTAAATACTTCTGTGAGATTAGCAGCCTAAGACATAACTGGAAGCTGTGTCTCTCAGTTATGGGTCCTTCCCAGTTAATTAACATCTCCAAAGACGGTATGTTCCGTCGCATCTCACCTCCGAATAGACGAAGAGCGGCAGCACGAGCACCGCCAACATCAGATCCGCCACTGCCAGACTCACGATGAAGTAGTTGGTGGTGGTTTTCAGTGCCTTTTCGACGAACACACTCAGACACACCATCAAGTTGCCGCAGATGATGACGACGATCAGCAGCACCCCGAAAACCAGGGCAGGCAGGTTGTGCAGTGCCGCGGTCGCTGTCCCCGCCTCCTGCGCTGCGCTCAGGTTTGCCACCATCTGCGCCGCGTCGGTCTGATCCCGTCCGAGCCACAGCAGCGCGGCCAACGGGCTCATGAAGGCCGGGTTGGAGTCCGACTGCCACACTGTAGCCTTATCATGCTCTCACACAGACTCCACTTAGACTGTAGCAGACTGCAGTGACGAGCTCCAGTGCGCACCGTTGCGCCTTTTACGCAAAAATCCTCTGCGTAAAAGCAGATGGACAAAAACACAAGTTGGTATTTACAAAGTTAAACTTTTATTTAAATATTAAAAATATGGTGATGAAGTCAGATTTTTGTCACAAAGAATATTTAGTGATGAAAAAAATCCAGAAGAATACAGATGCAGTTCTTTAAAATCTTTCATTAAAATCTTCATATCAATAGAAAACTGCTTCTTTCTTTAACGCTGGGAAGATAGCCGAAGGACTCTGGGGTCAGACAGCAGAGAAAGTGTCGTGCCGTGGATGTTTCCAGCTCCCGAGTGTTTGCCTGCAGCCCGCTAGCACAAAGGCCACCGAGGCCAAATTAACCGATTAAAGCCGCTTATCACCTGCGCTTTACGGTGTCCTTCAGCCCTTGAGCTCCAGCAGAAGTTTGTCCATCTGTCTGTTCATCTGCGTGCATGCGTATCACGGAGACGGGGGGAGACAGGAGTGGCCACTGCAAAAAAAAAAAAAATTTAATTAATTAATTAAATAAAAATATCCACTGAATTTGACCTCTCTACCTCTATTTGTGCTGTTGGTGCATTTTGGAGCAAGTTTTGATTAAATTAAGTGGAAAAAAATATTCTTTTGTTTCTGATCAGTACAGTTGTAGCATTAGTTTATCACTCAGCATTAATTAGCTCATACACCTTTTGGATACTCCTTGATATTTAGGATTGCTGGCCTTATCTGATAACTAATCTGATCAGTCTGTATCTAAAAGACACACAGAGGGAGAGAGGGAGAGAGAGAGAGAGAGAGAGAATCACATTGGGACAACAGTGATAATGCCTAGGGTAAGAGTCACCTCTCCTCCATCTTTTTATATACAGTTTGCAGTTTTATACCACAAGAGGCCACTTTCACATTAAAGCCTTGAAGTGTTTTGAACGTTGGGGAAACATTTCTTGCAGTGTTAAGTGAATGAACAAGGTTCAGCTGTGCAACAGGGGCCCAGAGGGTGACAGAAAACTACAGGAATCATCTGCTGCTGTTCAGCATCTGGATTCAGTTCAATCAAAATAATTGATCAGTGAAGGCATTTTATTATTAACAATTTTATTCAGGTTCAATTCAGTACTTAAACTTTACTGTTTTGGTGTTGCTACACAGGGGGGTTCATATTGAGTAAAATGGCGCTGATACACGCTCAGTATTGTGTTGTGGGTACAAGGGCCCCATACATTTATGGGTTGGTTGCAGCTTTCATTTAGTGGAGATATGAAACCACCACAAACACTCAGCCACTGGTTGCTGTGGCTTGCTTGTTTTTGCTAACAGACTGCTGAGGTGTTACTATGTGATCACTGGTGTATTAGTGTGTTGGCATTAAAAAGTAGGAATGCTTCGCAATAGCTGAAGTTGATCACCTGCAACCATGCATTTTAAAAGTTGTCACTGTGTCACTGTGCCTGGAACAGGTGCAAGAACAGATGACAGAGTTATCACTAGTGGTTCAAAAATTCCTTTGTGCAATTTGACAAAAATTAAGTACTGAAAAACAGATGTCCTAATGCAGGTAAATGGTTAAGAAAGCTTCATGGCTTTCAATTTGCACCATTACAGCGTTGTAATCTATTATTTTTCTTAATTTAATTTGCTCCCTTTAGTTTTTCCTGCACTGTTTATAGTCTGTGATGCTTTTCTGAGAACCGTTTTGTTCTCTACCAACACTAATGACTGCCTAGAATCTCTTCTCATGTCACTTGGGTCTGGAGGTGATAAGGTGAATTTTAATTAGAGGTCTTGCTGTCTACAGTGATGATGGATCAGCTGAGCACTGACGCCATCCAACACTCGGGGGAAGATGATGGGGCAGCAGTGAACACACCTCCTGTCTGTCTCTGGAAAGACTTCAGAAATGTCAATTTTTAATGTAGTTTAGATCAGCTGACCAGCAGCTGTGACCCAGTTTGTTGCTGATTTTTAACTCCAGCTTGCAAAAAAGCATCTTTCCCATACAGTACCATGCAAAAGTCTTGACCCACCCATCATTTCTTTTTATTTTGCATACAAGGAACTTGAGTTTCTTGCAATTTCTTGAGGTCTTGAGCAATAACCGTCAAATATTTTCTTCTCTCTTTTTCAGACCAGTCCTTGTACCTGACCATTTTCTGAGGAATGTCTTCCTTGGTAAGCTACGTAACACGGACCTATAAATCATTCTATTATAAAAAGGGCAATTAACTCAATGGATATACAAGTTTTGTGTCTACTCATAAAAGACATCTCAGCAAAGAACCAATTTTAAATTGTACCTTTAGACACTTTGTTGTTGGTAGCCTGTCACAAAAACACATTTATCCCCATTTCTTTAGCTGAATCTGTCAAAACCAGTGGACTTGGATAGACTTAAATGCAGGATTCTGAGATCAAAGTTCACAGGTTTACAATAAATGAATCCAAGGAAACAAGGCTTTCATGCAGTGAGGACCAAACCCAGGCAATCAGGCAGATTCACATTTTCACTCCCTCAAACAATCTCTCCAACTTTCTCACCAGAGTTTCTGCACAGAAGAGAGATGCGTAAGTACAAAAGACAAAGAGCAAACAGAAGAGGTAAAATCCAGTGCATTCGGAGGCAGACTTTCACTAACAGATCAGTTCAACAATCAGGCAGCAGATGACAAGTCATATGAAACAGAGGATGGAAGCCCAGTAACAGACTCTGGCCCTGAAACACAAGAATATGATTATGGCACAGACACATACACAGCCACACAAAGTTGTTCCCAGTGACGTGGCTGGGGAGTCTATGCACCACTGACTGATGCTCACATTAAATATAAATTTCAGGTTTCAAATAATGAAGTCGGTGTCTGTAGAGTTAATCCTTGGGGGTGTGATGTCAGTAAAAATAGATATTCTTAATATAGTGATCTTAGGCACAAAGGTCTGGCTAAGAATAAAGACAGCCACCTGCTGTTTCAAATTTTCTTATTGACAGGGACTAGCAATCCAAAATGCTGACTCAAAGGAAGGCTGATCTTAATGGGCGATGACCTAAAACGCTTTGTTTTGTTTTCCTCTCGAAAAGTCCCTTTGGCTGCCTCGCTGTGTCGGGTGGGTTGCCCAATGCTGGGATGTCTGGTTTGCACCTTGTTGGCGCGTGGCTGCCCGCGTGCCCCACCCGTGTCCAGGTGAGGGAGCAACTGTCCCTGGGTTTTAACAGCACCTTAGTTTTCATACAGTAATACTCATCCTGTACACTTTGTACAGTCACACTCCACAATGCATTAAGATCATAATTCTGATTGCAAAAGCTGCCAGAAACCCCAAAACAGTGGATACTGGGAATTGCCTCTGGTGCCTAACTAAAACCTTTTTGAGGACAGAGTTCTTTAAAGAAACCTCCTCACTTATTGGTAGGTAACACTCAGTACAGGCCAGTGGACCAACCCAGGTGACCCTTTATATTCACTCAAGGGACTTTAAAACTTCAAGAGTTGCTGTAAGTCATTCAAGGATAATGAGAACCATATTATATGAGGCAGAACATCCAGGACTTCTGGGACCTGCTCGAGAACCAATGATGTCTTCTCATGGCCCTAAAGGTTGGTAGAGCAGAAAACCTGAATATACTCAAGTGCAAGGAAGAACTAAAAATTGTCACAAAATGTATCCAGCTCTCGTTTTTGTCTTTTAAATAGAATATCAAGACTTTGGTTTGATGAGTGTTCATTAGATGGAAAGCTCTACTAAGAACATAAAACCAGGTTCCTGAACATTCAGCGTTTTGTTTTTTGTTGTTGTTGTTGTTGTTGTTGTTGTTTTTTAATTAAAGATATGTTTGTGTTCAGGAGGTGGAGATGATGAAATCAGTGCTCATCAGAAGCCGTCCTCAGAATAATGAAGACAAAATATTTTCTGTTCTCATCCAGGAAAGTACGAAGCAGCTTTATTTCTCTGAATATGTTTTAATATGCAGCACAGATGATCAGTCCAGCCACCATTTGTGTTTCGTCCTCTGATCACTTAAGGCAATCACATGAGGCTGTGGAACTCATTATTACTGACTCTCATTAGGACCACCTAATTATTTATTCAGCTAGTCTTACTCGGGTCCCTTTTCCAGAGACCTGAGAAAATCAAACAGTCATAATCAAGCAAGCACAGGCCCAGTACACACACAAATGAACAAAGGTCAGATAAAAATAACACAACATAAAACCACCAGTCTTTTGACTAAAACTGCACCTAGGTTTCTTTACCCCTCTGTGAATCCCAGCATTATCACAGTGGAGAGGTTCCTGCATTCCAGGAGCTATGTTGTCCAGGGCAATTTGCCCCTGGTAGGCCCTAGCCAGGATAATGGACCAGTGAGTGGCTGTGGCTCAAGAGCGGGGCACCTACTAATCGGAAGGTTAGTGGTTCGATCCCTGTCTGCTCAAGTCTATGTGCCACATATCCTAGGGCGATTGTGGCTCAAGAGTTGGGAGATCGCCTTGTAATCGGAAGGTTGCCGGTTCGAGCCCCGGCTTGGACAGTCTCGGTCGTTGTGTCCTTGGGCAAGACACCCGTTGCCTACTGGTGGTGGTCAGAGGGCCCAGTGGCGACAGTGTCTGGCAGCCTCGCCTCTGTCAGTGCGCCCCAGGGTGGCTGTGGCCGCAATGTAGCTACCATCACCTGTGTGTGAATGGGTGGATGACTGGATATGTAAAGCGCTTTGGGGCCCTTAGGGACTAGTAAAGCGCTATATAAATACAGGCCATTTACCATACCACCAATGCATCCACTGAATGTGTATGTGTGTGATAGAAAAGCACTTGCGTGCAAATTGTGTAAAATGCTTCAAGTGCTCAGAGCAGAAAAGCGCTGTATGCAGATGTGTGGCTGGTAAGGCTGAGACCACCAGGACTCCCTCTGCTTCCTGTTACAACAAGCAGAAATGGAGTAAGACAATGCAACTTTAAAATCATACAAAATACCAGAAAAAAAATTCTAGGTGACGTGCCAAAAATATATTTGGGCTATTTTAGAAGAAAATCATATAATTCTTACAATTATATTCAAAATTTGTGAGTGATTTTTCCCTAATCAGCATTTATAATAGACAAAAAAGCAGTTATTGTTTCATGTAATTGGTAAAAACTGAATGACATTTTTCACTTTCCAGACAAGCAACAGACGTGACATGACCAGGAAAATGAATTGTACATAAAAGATGGGTGACGTGTCCAAATCTGAAAAGGAAGCCAACATGGAAGTTCAATAAACTGCATTCTCTCTAATGGCCATCAGAGGGGAAATCTGCTGGTTCAAAAACACATCTGCTTTTATTGAAGCACACTGAAACACTTATCA